CGAAATCTACATGCATGTCGAAGAAAAGACCATAGCCAAACATCATTACCCCGCATTGAATCACCAGGAATATGGTGACGATGACCAGAGAATTGCACCACCATGTCACGAAGGAATAGGTAGCAATCCGATTGAATGTTAGAAAAACTAAAATGCATTACATCTAATTCATAAATCAACCTACTGTTGTAACGATCCAATCTATATTCCGAGACAGAACCAGGGGTAAATAAAGCAAGAAACCTAAAATTTAAACTGTCTATCGTCCACTGTTAAAACATGCCCTAACCCTAAAAAGACAGGTTCAATACTGAAACAAACATACCATAAATTTATCGACCCTACACCTACACCAGGCAGATTTAGATGTTTTCAATGGACTTCATTACTTTCACAATTTCATCCTCGGTTGATGATGAGATGGCATCTTTAGAGAAATCGAAAGGTTTGAATGTCAAAGCATCATTGAATGAAGATGGTCAACCTGCTGCTGTAGGTAGCCAAACTGCGGAATTCCTGGCTTCGTCTGCTGGTACAGAGGGGGAGAAAATTGCTACTAATCAAGATCAATTAAGGTAGGTACAAATAAATTAGGGTGGGCACAAATGAAATTAAGGTAGGTACGAATGAATCAGACGACACACATAGATTTCAATGTGAGTCTGAATAGAAAATTTGAATATGTAATATAAATTTAAATTTTAAGGGTGGACACTGGCCCGCCTTCAAGCATATATATACATTCACCATTGGTTATATAGATGTAAAATGACATCATTTTGGTAAAATTTTATTTTTCTAAAATGATCGCTTTAACACCGTTAAATATTTAATAGCTGAATGATAAAAAAACACTAATTATAATAAATTCCCGTTAAATATTTAACAGCTGAATGATAAAAAACACTAATTATATTAAATTCGGTGAAAACTTGAACTGATTTAAAGTTTAATAGGTGAAATAGGAAAGAGAGTAAAGTTACTTCAATTTACCCTTAAAAAATTACAAATCAATGATAAAACATGATCTAAACAGTGATGCTTAGAGAAACGAATCTTATTAGTTTGTTTTTGTTGCACATGAATTATGAATTCAACAATATATCAACCGTTAATAATCTTTTCAATCTATGGTTCAATCTTTACACATGGAAAATGAGTTATAGTCGATAAATGTTATGGATACGATTAACATTTTAGGTTTCGTCAAGAACGTCATGGTTCATTAAAAAATAAATTATGATCTTTAATATTAATATTTTTATTAATTATTCAAAAGTATTTATAGATTCTAATCCTTTGATTGATTCAAATATATTATTTTAATATCTATGATTCAATCTTTGCACATGGAAAATGAGTTATAATCGATAAATGTTATGGATACGATTAACGTTTTAGGTTTCATCAAGAATGTCATGATTCATTAAAAAATAAATTATGATCTTTAATATTAATATTTTTATTAATTATTCAAAAGTATTTATAGATTCTAATCCTTTGATTCAAATATATTATTTTAATTTTTAAAATGTATTTATTAATTAATGTTGTAAATTATAGATTTGATTTAGTGATTTGATTATATGTTGATTTAGTATTTGTAAATTTTATTTTTTTGATTTAGTATGCATAAAAAATTATTTGATTTAATATATATATATATATAATTTTGATACTATGTTTGATATTTATAGATTTATGTTTGGTATATATTAATTAATTCAAATATATTATTTTGATATTTGGAAAGTTGATTACCGTACGAATTTACGGTAAGAGATGTTCTTCGTCACCGAAAAATATTAGATTTTTATCAAAAACCAATAAAGGTTGGACAAATCCTTTAAATTTACTCTATTTATTTTATTTTCTTCTGTTAGTTATTCTCTTTTTTAGAAGTTTGTAGACTATTTTTTGCTGATACTTAGGATGTATTACAATTTCTTTTTTACAGATTATAATCTTATCAAGTTTTTGGAGTTTTTTTAGATTAACCCCGCTGAAATATGTGAATGATTTTGTCATTTTTAAAGTATTAGGTCCAAAGTGAATTTGGAGGGGATTGGGGGTTGGGTTAAATCGGTTACAGATTGCTTTGGGGTTAAGGATACTGGATCTGGAACGTATATTAAATTTGGATTGCATATTAGATTTGAGTTTTAACAAGATATATTTTTGGTTTTATTTTAATTCCGGCTTGATGAATGAATTTTTAAATCAAACAAAAACAATATTTATAATAGGCATTTTTAGTTATCTTTTGAGCATAAGTAAATCGGGGTAGTTCTACCATACGACAATCTTAATATACGACTAAGGAAAGATGCTACCGGAAATATTAATATTTTCGGTAAAAATAACTAAAACATTATTATTTTTACCTAAAACATTAATGTTTTTTAACATTTCCGGTAGAAAAAATAATGTTTTAGGTAGCACTTTACCGGATATGTTAAACATTTCCGATAAGCGCCCAATAATAACATTTTCGGTAGAAATAATAATGTTTTAGATAATTTTTTACCGGAAATGTTAAAAAAATAATAATATTTCCGGTAGCGTATTTCTTTAGCCTTATATTAAGGTTGTCACACCTAAGACTTTCCCAATAAATCGAGGTGGGCACAAAAAAAATTAAGGTAGGTACAAATTAGTTTTAGGGTGAACATATATAAAAATTTTAGCAAAACATAAGAAGGTAGATAATGAAGTATTGCAAACAAAACATCGAGTAGAAAGTCGAACAGAAAAGTAAAAAAAAGTAAGAATTTTGCCTTAACTCCCCTTTAAATAATCATAGAACGAAATGTTCTTCCGACGATGGAAATATCATACTTTATTATTACAATCACATAACTACATGTATACATTTTTCAGTCATTTATAATAAAAAAAATTCTAAAAATACCAATGGTCAGTTGATATATTGGGACGAGACACTATATTCTTTAAACAATATCACATATTCGAATTTTGACGTTTGTGAAATGAGTAAATAGGATTAAGGGTTACCCTCACCTCTATAGTACCCGATCTGTGGTACTAGTGATTAATTCAAAACAAAATAAAAGATTCTAAAAATGACACATTTAATTTATAATCAACAATAATAAAGATTCCAAAAATGACACTGTAACTCACATTTACATGCGCAAATCTTAGGTCAAATTTTCTTTATGGTACTCCTTCAAGTAGGGGGTTTAAGTCATACATCTTTTTATCTCTCTTCTACAAAATTAATCTCCTTATATTAAGACCCTAAAGAACATATGAGAGGATACCGCCCGACTATGAACTACTACATTTCTAGAGAAATTATGGTCTTTTTAATATGATCTGTACCAAGAATTACGTAACTTGTCAGAGTTGAATAATATACTACATCAATTAGATTTACCAGTCTTGAGCAATCATAGTGACTAAACACCCGACGCTTACACTAAATATCATTATAAGACATATTGACCAAGATTGAGAAAAAGATCTACAACCAGTCTTAACCATTTTTAACTTTTTCTTCTCTCCTTTCCTTCATGGTGAGGGCAAAGTTCATAAACACCATTCAACGTTTGGTTTAATCATTGACACAGATTCTTCATACAAATAAAGAAAAGTCACCGACAGTGAACATAATTCATTTATTCAATTAACAAACAGAAAATCGTGTTATTTTGAAGAGAAATTTAATTTTATATTTTAGCGACAGTAATATTAAAAACAGATTTTAACAATAAATATAAATAATAGAAATGAAGCCAATAGGATAAGATAATGTGGTGCTATTAGATGTTTCAAGACATAAGAAACGTAGCGTTGCTTGATTTGATATGATAAAGATCTAATCCACCAGGTCATCCCTTGTAAGGAGGTGTTCGTTTCGCAGAAAAACTAAACTCTACACAACACACGTTAAAGTAATCCACCAATAGCTGGGACCCCAAACACACTCAATTATTGGGTCTTCTGTCTTGTTTAATTTTCTGATACACAATCACGAGACCCCTCTAAAGATTTTGCTGCCACTGGTGGGTGGGTACACATTCACAACCACCATATCCCTTCATAAACCAAAGATACTTTGATTTCATTTCACTGGTCCATACGGGTTGCCAATGCCCATTAAGACTCCACCATGGTGGGGGATATCACATTCAATATTCTTTCCACAGAAATTCATTATTTAATTAATTATTTTATATTTTAAAAGTTTATAATAAATATAAGATGATATTTATTTAAAATTTTATCAATCTCAAAGGATAATAATCATGAAGTGATTTGATTCTTGCGAATAGATATAATAATAGAAACAATAATTATTTTATTATTTAAACATTTATGAGTTGGACCCCACCATTACGCCGGCATATCAACTGAACATTACCGAACAAATTTCATCATACAGGGTATGACCACACATCCCCTTGCCGACAATTAATTTGGCCATGCACCAGATTCGTCGTCACCTGCAGACCACGAAACATAGCACAGAGCAGAAGATTGTATTTTTCATTAAAATTTTTTGAATGTTGGGGCATACGAGTTACGACTTCACGTGGCTCTGCCGTGTGCTGCTTAGCCTGAGGCCATTTCTGCATATACATGCTATACGCGGCAGTATAATATTCAAATACCATAAGACTGCCCTCTCTCATAGGGAACCAAGTGCTTATTGACTATAAAGTAAATGATCCAACTATTGTTTTAGCCCTTTTAGCATGTTAAAATGAAAGATTTTATCCAAAAAAAAAAATCAATTTAAATTTGAGTACTGCATGTTATTGAGCTTTTCAACTCAACAGATTCACCACAGTTAACTAAATCCTCAAATGACCTTGATTTCGTGAAAACAGCATATAAAACCTGTCATCATTTTATCAATAATAATTTAATAAAAAAGTACTAAATTATATATTGAAGTAATAGAAAATGTAGATTTCAAGAGAATAAATAGATGAAAATCATAATTATTAGACTAAAAGAAGATTGCAGATTAGCAGAAGTTCGAACATTCATATGTTCTCAGTATTTTCATCATAAAAACTCGCATAAACCACTTATACAGTCATCAAAATATAAGTTTCCAAGTCCAGAAGTCTACAAAAATAGACATAAAAAAAAACAGGAAACATACTTAAATAAACCTCTGAAAGCACTGCAGACAAGGGCCTTTAAGCATGCAATGAAGCTTGGTTTTGCTTCAACTTCACAACACAGTTTTGACCAAATTCCTGAGGAAATTAAAACAACAAAACAAAAGCACATTATATAGCAAATTCGACATTATTTTTTCACAAAATAAACAGACTAAAGCAAGCTGCCTGAGGGGTTTGTGAAAACTCACTAACATGTTGCTTTATTTACAAAAACTAGCATGTAGGGCAAAGATTTTGCTTAGAGAGCAGCCCCGGGAATGGAAGGGAAGTCATCGAAGCTCCAGAAATTCATTGGGTTTCCACCGTCCTGAGTTGCCTCTCCATTGAGGAAGGCCTCGATCGAGGCATCCCAGTTCCCGTCAAGGAGTGGCGGCATTTGGAAGTACTTCATCGGATCGTCCAAAGCCAATAGCTCATCGGATAAACTCTTTGCCGAATTATCTTCAATAGGCATAACATTGTCAGAACTTGGTTTCAGCTTCTTATTAGGGTTTGCATCCTCCATGAACTCATCACCCTCGACAGTGGCTTCAAGAATGGATGATATTTCAGGAGTTTTAGAACCCTGTTCACCCCAGCCATAATCGGAACAATCAATGGAGTTACTTCCCTGGTCAGAATTGAAAAACACAGGGGTGTTATCAGATTGATTAAACGGTTTAAATCCAGTATCTACAGACGTAGGAACTGGGTCCACATAAGCAAACTGATTCATCAGCGGCTTCTCTTCCACAAAACCCATGGTATCAAAGTATTCCTGCTCAGGATTGTTCAAGTAATTGAAATTCTGGTTCAGATTCGGCTCAACAGGGCTCAAGTTTGATTTGGAGACTGGTTTCTGAGAGCTAGTCTTCGCTGCGCGCTTCGGAGAGGCACGCGGAGTCTCATCAGGGAAGTTCACCTTAGCTTTCTTACCACGAATTCTTCGTGCCTCTGCGTCATAAGCTCTTGCAGCTTCTTCAGCAGTATTGAAAGTTCCTAACCAGACCCTTACCCCTTTCCTAGGGTCTCGGATCTCAGCTGCCCATTTACCCCATGGACGCTGTCGAATCCCACGATACTGATTCTTCCTCTTTCTTTTCGCGCATTTTTCAGCTTGACCGTTAAATTGTACGGATGTACCAGAGCTCGAATCTTCAATGATTGCAAAGGAAAATTTTAGTAATCATACAGATACATGAACCACAAATAAATGATACTAATCAATGAAGATCTATATAGATCACAACAAAACTTCCACAAGGAAATAGAATTTAGGGCTTTAATCATGAGAAAAACATCTCTAACGACTACATCGGGAAATTATTACTCGAAGCGTTACATCTCGAATTAAATATCTTCCAATCAATTAAAAGGAAAAAATATTTATCCTTTAGAATATAGGAAACATCATCTCCTACATAACAAGATTTCAAACAACAGTAGACAAAAGGAAAGTATAAATACATGAATCCATACAGATTGGTCTGATAGAAACAAATTAAAGTTTTCCCTTTTAATAATGAATAAAAGTTTATTTTAACAGATTCTTAGATAACAATAGAAAAAGTTAAATATTTTTTTGAACGAGCTGCAATAATGATTTTAATATAAATTAGAAGTCAATTTTAGCAAGATCCCAAAACCAAAAATCCAGAATTATAAGAAGCTTTGAATTGCTAAGATTTTATGATCTAAAATTTAGTGTTTTCCTTTTCAGGTCATTTTCATCTTAAATTCAAATCTTAAAGGGCAGAAAGGAAAATAATCAACTTTCTAACATAGAAAAAGTAAAGAACTACAGCAGGATAGAAAAAGAAATAAAAAGCAAAAGCTTTTATAATGGGCGAGATGAACATCAAGAAAAAGCTCAAGCTTTTTAACAAATTTCAACTAAAAATACTAATCAATGTGATCAAGAGGCCTAATTCTATCATGCCAAATAACCAAACAAGCAATAATAATTCAATAACAATACTTTTTTTAAGAAAATACATATGATCACTATTCACTAACAATTAATCAATGATCTAACCCGATTAAATCTCAATAAGAAGGGGGGGGGGAAGGGAAATGTACAGAAAAGCCAAAATAAACTTTTTACCAAAGATTACATGCTCTACTGCAGAAAATAAAAAAAATGGCAAAAAATTAACGAAAGAAGAAATTATTATTCTTTACCATGTGAGGCAGCAGGAGATGGCTTCTTTGTAGCAGATAAAGCGAATGGCTTGATATCAGCCAAAACACCATCGACATCAAAATCATCTACATCAGATTCTTCATCCTTAAACTCCTGAAAGTCAGTCTCGAAATCATCATCGAAATCGATCACCGGCTTCGAGAACCTTTTTGGGGAACCCTTCTTAAACCCAGATTTTTTCAGATCAGGCCACAGGAAATCAGCCGTCAGGCGTCGCGACGACAGTGCCGGCGGTATGAAATCAGAGATGATAGCACCTCCACACATGGTGGCGTTTGATCAGAGTGACAGACACTTTGGTGAACAGATTCTGAGAAAATTTGAGCGTACAAATGATTGACAGATTGCTAACAAAGCTAGAGGAGACGGATTCCTTCAACTTTTGGTGTTTGGTTTGTTGTTGGGCAGTTGAATGAAAGTGAGTTATTTTTTCGAGGGTTTGTTGATCAGAGGAGACATTTTATATTGCTTGCGGAGGAAATTATGCAAATTTCATTATTACCATTTCACCCTTTCTTGATGAATGAAATTACATATATATTTTATGCATTTAGCTTTTTTTTAGTCTCACATGTAAAGTATAAATTGGAAATGATAAGATTAAATTAGTGAAATAACTTGTCATCATTTCTGCACCGAAAAATATTAATTTTAAATTTGAATATTTAAATTTTTATATGTGATTTTATATCTTTAACTTCACTTTTTAATTCTATCAAATTTAAATATTTAATTTTTGACAGAAATATATCATTATTTATAAATATTCGGTATGTCTAGTTTTACTGTATTATGAACTTTTTTTTTATTTCAATTCGTTTATTGTGATTAGAATAAAAACTGCAATCAAACTAAAGTCATCAACATCTTCCACCACCTCTTATTATGTTGTAACTAAAAGAATAAAGACTTAAAATTACTAATAAATGTCGAAATATTTAAATTTGGACACACAATTTTAAGCTTTATGATTTTTTTTATTCCTGTTCTTAAAGTTTTGTCTTAGTTAATTTAGATCAATTATGGTCGTATATCTGATTTTGATGGGTAAGTCTTCCAACGAGGATTTTCTGCATTCACGAGAACTCGAACTCTAGACCTGCTTACCACTTGAGTCAACCCATTAGTATTTTTTTCGAGCACTATAAATTCAACTTCATATACTTATGATTCAAATATCAACATAACTTAAATGTCTTTCTTAAACACACTGTTTCAATTTATTATATAGTCAAAATTTAAAGATTTCAATTCAATCCTAATAATTTATACTTTTTTCAATTTAGTTCCAAAATTTCGAATCAGGTTTTAATGAAACTTTCTTTTAATTTAAATCTTATCTCGAATCAAATTAAAAAAAATTCACTCTAAATTCAAATCTAATATGACTCAACACGAACTTGATTTGTCTTAAAAAAATAATTTTATAAAATTATTTCGAGACAAAATTCGTTGAAATTGAATCTCATACTTACCCCTATTGGTGAAGCACCCTATATTCCAAGGCATATGTGGTTAACCTAATGCTGGAACATGGGTATGTTTCACTAGTTTTGACCATTCCCTACCAATCTCGTTGATTTGCACCAAAATGCTTTATTTCAAATTCACGATGCATTCTTCAACAAATCATGCCCTCTGTCTTAATTTATGTTTTGAGAATTTGATTTTTAAAATTCCTTTTATATTTTAAAAATATTATAAACGAAATAAATGATATTTGTAACATTAATAGTTGTTTTTCTAATTTTATTTTTTTTAATGATTTGGGGAAATTACAATATAATATTTTTCATAAATTTTCCACGTTTATGCGTACAAATCTTATAAAAGTAACTATTCGACTATGAATTTTTTTAAGGAGAATACACTTTGGCAAAGACACCATAAAATTTATATTTCAATTCGATGAATCTAAATTTTTATACTTTCATTTGTATTGTGTTTTATAATTTTTTAATAGTTTTAGTTAAATTAATTTGAGTTTAATAGAATTATTTTTTAATTATATAAAAAATTAGTTAGTTCTTAAAAATTTAATAGGTATAATATGGTTAAAGAATCGTTAAATTTTAATTTTTAATTAATTTGAACTTAAAATGTTTAACATTTTAATTAGTTTAGTTAATTAATACATTTAATAAAATTAAATTTAATCGTTAACATATTAATTGAACTAAATTTTCATTCCGATAGTTAATTCAATTTTAATCGAAGAATGAATACCCTAGACATATATGAAAATAGTATACATACAATGATATTTATATTAAAATATTAGGAAAAAGCATGAACTAAATGACTTCTGTGATAAAAGAATTATTGTTATTCCTTGAAGATTCGAATTCATTTGTTGCACAGTCTTGGTTGCTGAGATTCATGTCACGGAGGGGTACCTGCCGACCTTGTCATTTGTTTTAAATTTGCTGACTTATTTTTTGTCCCTTCAAATCAACAAATTTCCACAGGACTTGCTTCTTCAAAATTGCCAGCTTATTGTATGACCAAATTGAATTATATATCTGTCACCCTGATTTTATAATCATCCAATATATTATCTTATGTATAAGTGTATGTAGATGAATTACTGTTACCACTTTAGGAAAACAAATGATTATTCAATTAATGGCCTTTATTACATGCTATTATTAGTATATGCAATCCATCGGTAGACACGGTGCCTTATTTGGAGTTATATTTAATTAGCATGTGTAGATTAATCAAAACGAAGTCCCGAAAATCAGAACGAGGAAATATTACCATAGGTGAAAATTGGAGGGGTATATTGGGGAAGATGAACTGATTCGGGAAGGTTCACATAAAATTTACCGCGATTGGCCAACACGAATTACAAAAGGTAAAAAAAGCAGGTGCATGCACCAGAATATGCCGTAAACATGGAACGATAGAAAATTTGAAAGCAAAACGACAAATTTCTAAATTAAAATATGAAAAGAAAGGCGAGGGGGACGGCTTGCTAAAGACAGGGTCTTGAGTTAGGACTTGGGTACATGGCCCTAGGCAACCGTGTTTCTCTTTAATTAGTCAATAAATACTACAAATAAAAAAAAAATATAATCAACGCTTACTTTACGTTTTAGATTAGTTTTCTTTCTTAAACAAATATTTTCCTCTTTAAAAAATTAAATAAATTCTTAATTTTAAAAATATTAATCTAATGTTTAAATTTTGACAAAATAATTAATTTAATCTATCAACCATGGTAAATCATCATGTTAATATTGTTAATCTCCATATTAATATTGCAAATTATCGCGTTAATATTATAACGATCAATGATAAAAAAATATTAATCAAAAGATTATATTAAAATTATTTTTAAGTTTAAGGATTACATTGAATATAATTTAAGAATTGTAATAAATTTTTTTTGTTGAAATTTTTTTGGATACTCGTAATTTTTCTTCATAGAAGGTTCATGTCCTCGTGACCATGTGCGGTTTACACTTTAGTATCAAGAGTCGCAAAGAGTCCGTGGAGGAATTTGACCATGGGAGACATAGGAACTTACGATTGCCGTGGATATTTCGTTTTTATTTTCTAAGAAAATATAAAATAATAAAACTATTTTAATTTTTTTAAATGATGTAAATATAAAATATATGAAAATTAAAAAAAAACTAATTTTGAAAAAACGAGTTAAGTTTGATCTTTTTGTTCGAACCCAAATTTTATTTAGATTTATTTCATTTGATGATTCAATTATGTCTAATTGTAAAATTCAGCTTCCTTTTTCTACTTATTTCCATACTTTTGATTAATTACCCTTTGTTTGGGTTTTTTAATGATCAAATTGTGATTTAATACAAGAAAAATATATTTGAAGTCTGGTCGACACGTTTCACTTTGACAAAAATCATGATTTTATTAACCAATAATTTTATGAATTAAAATCCAAGTTGGTCAACTAGCTTCAAAGCTTTGCTCATAAAAATTGCTGCCTAGCGTCATCTAGCTAATGTCAAAGACATGAAAACGTGTACATTCGCATTGGACCTCAGAGATATTTCCAAGGCAACATTTCAACCACTTTAACCTTAGTTAAAAGTGTATACATTGCACGAATAAAAATATTTCAGGAATTATTTTTTAAGGTCTTCTACTTAAATATAATAATCTTTTGAATAAATATTATTTTAAATTAATAAAAAAGAAAAACTGTTTGATAGACCGTCAACCATTGTTAAATAATGATTTGGTCACTCAATTAAATCTTATTCAATAATTTGACACTTCATATTATTATTACTTTATTATTTTAGCCGCTTAACTATACTTTTAATCTAGTTGTTTTCTTTCTTTCTTTTTTTCTTTACAATTTATGTCATATTCTGTAAATCAAATCAATTTTTTTCTTTAATTTTATTTAATCGACTGTAATATAAATTTTGATGTTAATTGTCGACTGTTGTTTGTTTTTTATCTTTGTTTCTTTTAGTTTTTGTTAGTAAAAGTAATTTTATCTTTGTGACACGCTTATTTATTCACTTGTGACACTTTTCTTTTTACATTTTGGTAGTTTTTGGTCAGTTGACCTTTATTTTTATTTATATTTTTTTCAGTGTTGGATTTGATATCTTCATGACTGATCAATATGACACATATTTGTTATCATGTTGATTTTCCCAACTTTTGACCCTCGGATTGATTTGGATATGCGTTTTGCTTTTGTGGATAGTTTTCTTACGTCGTTTGACTTTGATTTGCAATTTGTCGATAGTATTTTGATAGTTTCATCCCCTTTTATGGTTTGCTTACTGATGCAGTCAGATTTGTTCGTATTTTTATTTTGTTTGAGCATTTTGATTATTTTTAACCTTTTCTTTCTTTGACCCTTGTGTGATCTAGGTGACTAGTTTTTGTATCAATGATTATAGAAAAATATCCTAATTATAACTTTACAACAACAACAACAACAAAACCCAATTCCCATGTGTATGGGGTAAGGGGGAGGTAGGGTAGTAGGCTACCCCCAACGCCAGGTTGAGAATAGCTTCCGTGAAAGACCTCCGGCAGTCAGAAAATTAAAAATATAGATAAAATGCAATGCATGTATAAATAATTACATAAATACATATCTAAACAGTATTCATATGCAGTCATTAATATCATATGTGCTTCTGTAATGGGGAGTAATCCCTGCAAAATAATCCCTGCGAAAGAATCTCTGCATATAGACAAAAACCTAAGACCCGGCTAAATTTAACAGAGGAAACATGACGAGAATGATACACAGAAGACAACGATAGCAAGCCCGGGTCTACTCTTTCATAAATACCAATAACAGAAAAGTATAAAAAGTAAAAGTCATGGAAATTACTACAAATGCATTTAAAAGAAGACAAAGATGATACACCCTATAGATGTGACCCACACTACTCGACTACCCTAGTCT